CTGTCTCTGAGTCAGTTGTTTATTTAGCCAAGCCATGCAAAGGAGGCTATACGGTACTGGGACCTGGGACCTGGGACCGGGATCCAAGAGGGTCAGACTGGAGCTCTCCTCCACTCGATAATTGCAATGAAATTGCATTCTACTTCCATTTAGCCAAAGGCGCTAATTCGTTTATTATGAGCTCTGAGGGGTGGAGAAGGAGGAGAGGGGGAGACCGGCAGGAGGATAAAGTATGCGGCCAGAGCCACTCCGCAGATGGCATGGAAAATGCTCAAGAAAAATGCATAATTTTTCCGTCTTTTGCGTTGGGTGTGGCACAAATAATAAAGGAAGAGAAATAACAATGGCAAGAACAAGTTTGCAGGCCGATTTTGTTTGCTTAATGAGTTCAAGAGAGTGGGAGGAACGAAACATGATATTGGAGCAAGACGAGGAAAACTGTTGGCAAGAAAGGTTACGACTGTACTGGAAGAAAATAGAGACCACACGATGGAGTTGATGGAGAGAAGCCTGAGGACTGGATTAAAAGAAAGACTCAGACTCAGGTGAGCTTAGGAGCAGGGGAACATTAAGACAGCATTGAATTTGTCAAAAGATACCAGTATCCCCCAAACACCCATATGATACACACGAGTGCCGACCAAAATGAGAGCAAAAATAGTACGACGAACAGCGACCATCGTCTAAAGAGAGTAATTAGTCTGCTGACTAATTGCAACTAATGTGCATGTCCATGAGTGTGTGGGATGGTGTGTGACAAGGAGATACGTGTGGGGTGGGAAGGAGGCCAAAGGACCTTTCAATAGTTTGCTTGTGTCATCGTTAGTGCCCTTTGTGGCGGTTGTTGTTGCTGCTGCATTATTGGCAGTGCCAATTAAGTGAAATTTATGTGCTTCAATAAATTATGAGTGCCGCAGCTGACAGATGCTACAGAGTACACAGAAAAAATAGTCACAAAAAAGAAGAAGGAGGAGCAACGGACGCCGTGGCCAATGCGGGGCAAAACTTTTGGCCAAAAAGGACAACACAACGGAAAAGTGGCTTTTAGTTGGTGGGTAAGCGCGACACATGTCGCTAAGGTAAAATAGTTATTAGTAAATATATTCAGCACTATATTTGCATAGATATCCCCTCCCACACACCACACATCGCACGGCCAAAAACACACCACACATCGCACATACGCCGCGGTGTCCACGACACAAACTTCGGCCCGAGGGCCACTAATAAAACAATTGACGTGCTGTGAGGGCGCCCGAAAGCCAGTTGATATCCGAACCGAACTGAACCGAACCGTAGTTGACTGCAATAATTATTCAAGCGCCAAACACTAAGGGCCACAACACCATCCATAGACACAGACACTGCCACAGACACTGCCACAGCAGGTGCAGGTGCAGGTGCAGGAGCGACATCATCCTCATCCTCATCGACAGGAACAGCAGCAGCACACACTGGGATACCGGGGATAGAAGGCTATTATTGCGCCCAACTTAACCTGTTTTAGTAATTAATTTGGGTATTGTACGTTTTAATTAGTTTAAGAGAGACAACAGCAGCCATAGAGCACTGGAAACAGCGTCAAAAGAGGGGCGTCTGATGGCAGCCAGTCGCGACTATGTACTTTGTGTCGCCAAAGAGAATACATATATCCCGCCTTGGAGTCGCCTAATCAACAGTTCTCGATGGAAACTGTGTTTAAATTTTGGAACCATTCAAAGACACTTTTCCGTTTCTCGCTGCCCGACAAGCAAAGTGGAGTGACTTCTAATCGATGCCAAGGGTTGCAATTCATGCCACAACTAATCCCAGTCCCCTTGGGGCATAGACGATAGCACACCCCCAACATTAGACGCTTTATTTCCAGCTAATTATACACGCTCCGCACTGACTCCGTTCGGACCATCGTCCTTTGCACGCGTCTCGCCCTGGACAGTGCGGACAGGCTTTGGGCGCGTCCAAAACATATTTCAAAGTCTGGCTAAATACATTTTTAATTATGATTTTGCCTTAATAATTATGACCTAAGCTAACGGCAGCAACAAAACGAGTTGTTGCAAGTTGTTGCTGTTTGCTGTTGCAAGCCGTAATAGCCTACGATACCCAGCGGAGTCGTCGAATGGTTTAAATTAATAATTACGCGAAAAGGCAGAAGGCGCAGGCCACGAAGCCACGAAGCCTCGTCTCAGGCGCCTTTCGGGCTGGCTCTGGCTCCAACTCCAACTCCGGCTCTGTCCTCGGCGCTGTCGTCCCCAGTTTGCATGCAAGTGAAAATAATTAATGCACTTAATGTGTAATTATTTCAATTAAACGATATGTATTCCACCGATGCGGGGTCCTGAGTTGTGCCTTCTCGTTCTCTTTCGCTTAATTGGGTGGGGCAGGAGCGGAATTAAGTTCGGCCTAATTGGCATTTCGCCTGCCCGATCATTGATACCCTGAATCTATGTGAGACGGGATCGCGATATAGTAGTAGGGCACATCCATCTGCAGATCAGCACATCAGTAGATGATGCAGAAACCAGTTCCACTCTTCTTGCTGCGGGCCCCACTTAATTATGAAAGTGTCGTGCGAGTGTCATTGCCGTAAATTGTATTCCGTCGATCTGGCCTAATCACGGCACATACTCGTACACTGGCTTATGGCCCAATACAGCCAGCACTTGGCGGTGTTAATGGCGTGTACTTATTAGTCGCTGTTTGTCTCTCAATTCCGAATGGATGCAAATTTGATTGTGAATTATGGATGTACGACATTCAATTGCAACAACATTGTTGCTGGCCAAACATATAGTTTACTGTTGGCCATTTTTGTTGCCAACGTTTCCTCTTTTCTTCTTAATTTCTGTATCTTTTTTCTCCTGCAATTATAGTGCGATTAGAAAGTTTTCGTCCGCTCTCTTATTGATATTTCTCTGGCATATTTCATGCCTGTGCATGCAACGTTTTCGGAGTGCGGGAGGGATGGAGAGAGTGGGCACAATTATTTATTGCAGCCATTTGGTGGCATGAATGCCTCTCTTACTCTCTCTCTCTCTCTCTTTCCCTGTATATGCCTGTCTTCCTCTCTTCTCTGGAAATCCATGGCTGAGCTTAACAGGCGCACAGCAAGGGCAGCAGCAGCGGCAGCGGCAGCGGCAGCAGCAGCCTTTCTCGGAGAGAAGTGTGAATGGAACCTCTAAGAACAAAAAAGAGCCTCAAGCAGAGAGCTGGACATTTCTTAGGTGTTTGCTTTGTGCCTCGAAAAGAGAGTGTGCCAGGAGGCGAGTTTGCTCAGCAGACAGAAGAGAGGAGAGAGTACGACGGAACTTAAGAGGTTTTTATACGAGAGATAGTCCCAGCTGTGGGCATTGCAGCTTACTCGAGAAAATTCTATAAAAATATAAAACTACATTTCATTTGGAATCTTGAAATTTACTCACCGCATCGCACCGCTCTCACATGGCCACAGAATCATATTTTCTCTGCTCCCTGAAACGTCCACTACTGCGCTGTGCTGGCTAGTGTTTCGGCCCTACAATTTGATTATGCCATGTCCGGCAGCTATTTTAGATTTGATTTTCCATGCACATTTTCAGTTTTCAGTTTTCCCTCGTTGTGTTGTTTTTTATCCCAGTCCCAGTCCCAGTCCCTTTCGCTGTCCGGCGAGAGTGTTTTTCACATTTTAATTTAAATTAGAGGGGGAAGCCATGTCAGGGCTACTCAGGGCTGCTGTTCAGTGGATGGGCGTGGATGTGGATGTGGATTGGGATGGGGATGGGTCTGACGCTGTCTGACAAGCGTTATGCCTGTTATGCTCATAACTCGTTCAGACTCTGGACGAGCTTAACGCGCTGATGTATGCTAATGAGCCGGCATTGTACCCTCTGCTGACTCAACTGCTGGACAGGAGTAGGAGTAGCAGTAGGAGTTAGGAGGTGGAGGCTGTTGCTGCTGCTGCTGCTGCTGCTGGGGTGTTTCCATAAATATGCATAATGCAATTAACAGCCAAATGTAATTGCAAGAAATAAGAAAAAACAGAGAAAAATCAGGGCGATGGGGAGATGGGAAGAAGGAAGAGTGAGAGATGGAGAGACGGAGAGCAGAAAGCAGAGAGTAGTCGAGCATTAGCTGCTGACAAACCACCCGCATGACAGTACAGCACGGTCCTGTCCTGTCCTCGTCCTCGTCCTCGTCCTGCACCGCAGTCATGTCACATCACGTCACAGCACAGATGGTGATGCATGACAGTCATGCCAGCTGCTGCTGCTGCTGCTGGCCACGGCTCAGGCCATGGCTTTTGCATACGAGCCAATGCCCGACTTTCCCAACCAACCTGTTCCCTCGCAAATTTTAATTAGGCTATTAAACAATTGCTGGAACGCATGTTAGCCAACCAGTTTGCCTGTGTGCTTGTGCCTGTGTCGCTCCTCTCGCCCAGTTCCGCCTCAAGATCGAATCTTTGCCTGGCGAATCTGTGCCAAATTTCGCATAAACACTGCCAACAATTCAGAGCCGAAATACAACACCAACAAAGCCAACAAAACCAAGCAAACCGAATAACCGTTGCGTGCCTAGGCCCAGTCAGAGCCAACAGCCTGCACTCCGCCAGAGACTTTGTCTTCTGTCTCCAGTCTCTCTATCTATCTGGGAGTCTGTCTGCAACTGCAACTGCAACTGACTCTGACTCTAACTCTGCCTCCGCCTGGCTGATTGGGCGCGCGTTGTTTTGCATTTCCATTTCCATTTCCATTGCCATTTCCATGCCAAAGTCAGTCCAGTCCGGCCGAGTCTGCGTAATAAAATGCATTTTAATTTGGCTAAATGTTCAATTAAATTTAAACATGCGCAGTCTGCTGTTCGCATTTTGTGTGTTTGCTGTCGTTGCGTTGAGCTTTTCCGCACTGGCATCGATGGCAAAGTGAATGTGCAATCGGACGACCCTCCTCCAACGAAACCCAACTCCAATCCCCTTGAGGGTGGGTGAAGGGTGGAATATATAGAAATCAGTAAACAATATCTGCGTGTAACTCATATTTAAAATAATTATTCCATTATTGCTTTTCAATATAATAATTTTGATTATCCAAACAAATTAAATAAATGCCCAGCTGCTCCGTCTACTACTTTTCAGGCTTGGTGATTTTGATCGTGGTCTTGAGACGGCTTTTTCCGGACTTCAGTTCGTCAAGGGCCTGCTGCAGAACGGCAAGAACCACTTGTGTGTGTGACTGCGTCTCCGTTAGGTTGGTGTGGAGGCGGCGCCCCTTGGCGTCCCCCTTGGTTACAGCGAGCTTATCCGCTGGCAGTTCCCGAATACCCTTTCCCGGTTTGGCAGGTGCCTTTGGCGCTGCAGGGCGCAGACTCTTCAGAGATTTGTCAAGTCCTGTGGAAATCTTACTTCGGGTGGCCTTCGAATCAGCAGGAACTTGTATGGTTTTGAAGGGCCTGTAGGGCTTTATGGTATTAATGGCCTCTGGAGCCTCGGACTCGCAGCGAAGGAACTCGCCAAAGTCCGAGTCGGCATCGGTTGTGCTGGCCAAGTCCTGGTCTTTCCTGGAGGTGGAGGTGGAGTAATCCGCTCGGTTATGGTCCCACATACTTTGCATTTTGTCAAAGAAGATCTTGCTGGCAATCTCAGTGTTGAACGCATCGGCCATGTCTGTCTCCTGGTCTGCGTTCAATGCGTCTGTGGATGTGGCCACGCGGTCACGGTGCCACACGCTCTGCATTTCGTCGAGGTAGACCTGGTTGGCACCCTTTTTCGATCCCGATAGATTCGTTGGTGCCGGAACCCACTCCTCTTTGGACCTCGTTCTGAGCCCCCCTTTCCCCCTTACTTTCCACCTCATGCACGCCTTGTAGACAGATAGATTTGGAGAGAGTGTGTTTGCCCTGAACTCCGGGTCCCCTGCATCATTCAAGATATTTGCCGCCTGTACGGCCTGATTCATGCACTCGTCGTAGACAGTTCGATCCGCTTCCAATTGAGTATTCGTGCTGGCCACATACTCCTTGAACAAGGCCTCTATTTCGGACGCTGCGAAGCTCTTTGTTTCCTCAATTGATTCCAAGAAGTCCGTGAAGTCGGCTAGATCGTATGACTCATTGTTATACCGCACCGCTGGACCCGTTCTCTCATCCTCTGCCAATGGACTGTTTGCTTCATTGGTGATCCAGCTTTCGTGGAACCAGCCAGCTTCGGAGACGAGGCAGCCAGCGAGGATATCGTCCACTGCTAGACTAATGCAATGGTCGTAGTCATCTGTTGTTCCAGGGGCACTCGTAGAGTCCTTATCCTCACCAAATCTACCGCTGGATCTTCTGCTAAACCTTCTTCGACGGATGTCGTGGTAACCTTTCCTCGATTGATACGCAATCGATGACGCGCCCTTGTCGCGAGCAGTTAAGGTCTTCACACTAATAGTGTCCTCCGCCTGACAAGTGTTCTGATTGATTTCTTCTGGTGCCAGCTTCTTCAGCTGATCCCACTGATCATCATTGTCTGCCATGAGTCTGGCGCTGCTGTCCATGTCCAGCGCCTGTCCATGCAGCCCTTCAGCCGCAGAGCTGGCATCGATCTCCGAGTCCTCGCTGAACAATTCGTCCTCGGAAGTCGGCTCCCCGGTGCCAATCGTACGGATCTCACACAGGGATTGCGTCTTTTTGGCGTCCCTCTCCGGGCACACGAGACACGCCTGACTGAATCGTCGACTCAGCTCGAGCCTCGCCTCCGAGGGCTTGGCGGCCAGGCAGTGCGTGACGCAGCGATTGGCCATTCGCGCACATATCAGCATCGTGGACGAACGAGAGATCATAGTGCCGGCGAAAGCTAAACAGAATTTGTATTTTTGAAAAGAAAAATTTCGATGTGATCTAGCTTGGGAACTGTGTAATGGACTGTCCAAACTAAAGTCTATTCTCAGGCAGGAACAAGACAGATTGGTCTGAGAGTGCTCCGTAGGTGTAAAGGGTCAGGGAGTTGGGCAAATAGAAGAACGACAACTCACTTTCGTCCCCATTCTGTTTATGATTATTTCTTTGATGTTTTCTGATTGTCCCGTGGGATCTGACAGGATCTCTGCAGCTAAAGTGCACAGCTTCTGTCAGAGCTCACAGGACACATGTGTACACCATCTTCGGTTACGATCGCTGGCACGGATAGATGCTCTTTGGCTTCCTGTCGAACAGATTATCAAAGCAGATCGGGTAACGCTCCAGGCAGCGGCACTCGTGTGGAAGCTCCGCTATGAGACCACCGCGTACGCACTCTGAGTAGCTGGGAAACGGACACTTGATCTTCTTGCACGGCCTCCAAGACGAGCACTTGGGCGGCACCAGTCGCGCCCTACAGCTTGGCATCGCTAGGCTGCTACAGCCCTTGGACGCCTTGTTCTTGCGGCGCTTCACCTGTGGCGGAATGGCATCGGACCAGCCGCAGACTAGCTTGGGCACCAGGCGGGGACAACACTCCCACCAGGTACGCTGGAAAGGGCGGAACTTATCCGACGCCTGGTAGAACAACACGTCGAAGCGGTCGTCGCCCTTTTTGCAGGACTTGGGCAGAGTTTTCCACATGAGCTCTGTGCGGCACTTCGGTGGCGGTGTCTCGACCCCCGACATCTTCTTGAATTGGTCGCACACAAACGCGGAGATGCTCCTCCCTACACAGAACTCGTTGGAGGGTCGACTGCAAATGTGCTCCTTGAATGGCTTGGATCTGCAATCGATTGAACTGCGATGGTCAAGGGGGTTGATCTTTTTGATCTCAGCGACTCGATGGAAGCATCTGCTGGAAGTGGAGATCATTTGAAGCATCTGCCAGGTTGAACCCATTAGCATCATGGTACGATTCTTTCAAGGGGCACTTAAGTGGGCTTATATGAATTTTTAGGGGATTTTAGGCCAAAAGTTGGAAGGAAACGGCATTGCCTGCCCCATTTTCCAATGGAAAAAGACTACTTTTGATCCGAAACATTAATAACTTAACTTTAATAGCTTTAATAACTTTAATAGTTTGGTTTTGAGAGAGTAGCCATGGAGAACCGGAGCCACCATCAAGTACAACTCGGCCACAGCACAATCTCCCTGCGGTAGTGTTGTGTTCAAGCTGTAGCTGAATGGGGCGGCAGATGGCCAGGACTGCACCCATCAGAGACCACTATGTGTCAATTTAGAAACATTTACGTGTCATTTTGATGCGATCAAAGACTCTGGTTATTGACGCAGGAGCCCAGGCCGCGTCCCATGGCGTATTGTCTGCCCATGAGCAGAGTGGGAGACATCTGGGCCATTCCCCCCGACATCTTGCCCAGATGGAGGGGCAGCTTTGGTGTGGGCGGCGCCTTGAACAAGCTGAGGCCCTTGCGGGAGGCTTCCAATAGCTCAAACATCCGGAGAGTCTGCAACTTGGGGGCCATTTCTCCGAGGACAGGGACCGTGGCCGGGACCGGCAGCATCTTGTCCCCCGATGCACCCTTCGGCAGCGTCGGACTGAAGTCGTTGGGCTGCTTCTTCATCGGCGATCGCTGGCAGCCGGATATGAATGAGGTCCACGTCGAGGTAAAATCGTAGTTCATCGCCTTCGCCATTCTACGGGATGCCGGGATCTGGTGCGAGGCGGCGTAGGGCCTCAAGTAGTCAAATCGCTCAGCGGCCTTCGGCTGCGGGGACAGCACCTGGGCAGTCCACTGAGCCTTGCTCCTGATGAGATGCGACTGGGATTTCGACTGGTTAACGAAGAATTTTGTCAAACGACCCGCGCAAATGGAGGCCAAAATAGAGGTTCCTGCCATGACTATTTTCGGCGTTTTCTTGGTCTCGATTGTGAACACTAAAGCGAAGAACTATATACGAGTAATGCGAACAAGCGATTTGGAAGACGGTTTGAGCAAAAAATAAAATGTACTTTGATATGTAATGTGTCTGTGAATGTGAATCGAAAGTCAATGCCAACTGGATCCTCCCAACGGGAGCTACACAAGTTCTGGCTATATTTTCTAAGGTTGCTTCGAAATATCTTTATTTCTTCAAAAGAATCATGGATTGCAAAAATTCGGTTTTCCGAGGCCCGCAACGGTCGCAATTTGGAAATGTTTCATTGGTTGGCCCCGGAAAACAGAACCTAGTGCTGTCCAGTCCACAGTTTCCTTGCCGCAGCCCTTTTGACAGATCTTTGGACAGGAAAACTGTGTAACGGTGGTGAGACTCTTTAAGGGTCGCCCGATACCCTGGCGGCTGAATCTTCTTCATGCGCAGCTTCCCCGGCGGACACTCCACCGTGGTCCACTGATGGTAGCGGCACTTCTCCGGACTCGGCGGCTTGGGGCCGGGCCTCTGGGTCTGCCATTTGTTGCCGGTTTGGTGGAGGGCCTCGCGCAGGACGCTGCACTTTGTCTCCAGCTCACGGTACACGGCCATCAGCTTCTCGTACGGCAGTTGGTATGGAAACTGCCTCTGGGGTGTAGAGCAGCAGAGCACAGACTCACATGGCGGATCGGGAAGCCTCGCCATGGAGCGAGCCTGTCTGTAGACTGATCGAAGCTTTAAGAGCCGACTGAACTGCTTCATCTGCATGGCTCCGGTGGGTTCCCTTTTGGTGGTAGATTTTACAACATTGAATTTTAAAAAGCAAAGGACTTCGAACGACGATTCTTTGACAAATGGAATGAGAGCCAGGAAAGTTCAGTCCCAAAAGGAATCTGACAAAAAAGACGATGGACTTTTGTTTGTTTGCTCTGTAATTGCACTAGTTTGGGCTATTGTTTAATCAGCGATAGAATCGACAGCCTAGGACTTCCTGTGACGATAGTACTCCCAGACGGAGCACATGGACGGTCGCTTAAGGCAGTTGCACTCGGTGGGTGGCGCCTCCGGCAAGGGATCGATCAAGCACTCGGAGAAGCTCGGATACTTGGTCAAACGCTTGCGGCACTTGCTCGGGCCGCGTGCGCCAATCTTGCACCTGGTTGAACTATGTACCTCCTTGCAGAAGGGCATCGTTATTTTCGGGCACGGCCCGCCCATCGACTTGGTGCAGGTCATCAGGTCCAGCTTGGGTGCCCCGGCGTTGCAGGGAACCATTTTGCAGACGGTCGGGGACTTGGGCTTCCTGCGCTTGCGCCGCTTGATGTTCATTGGCTTCAGGATGCACTTGGCCTTACGCTTGCGACGCTTCAGCACACACTCGACCCATGTGCGCTGGTACTTGCGACGCAGCTTGTCGCCAGGCCGGTAGTACTTCAGGTCCCTGGGGGGAAAGGCAAAGGCACACCGGTCCGCCAGGCACTTCATTCTCTCGGTGATGAAAGAGTCGACTGTGAACTCCGGATCGGTACGACACTTGTACTCGGTGCGGCGCAGGGACTGCCAGCAGGCCTCGGGCACCCTCGTGTTGTCGGGGGGATCCATCCGCTTGAGGTCCTTCCGCACCGACAGCACGGGGTAGCTATCCACGCAGTCCTCGCAGCCTTCGCGCCCGTACAGTGTGTCCATTTTCCTAATGGCGTTGCAAACCGAGAACAAGCCGGGGGTCGGCCTGCTCAGGACCTGCATCACCGTTGTCGCCCTCCTCATGGTATTCTTTAAGAGAAACATGGTCGTAGCCCGTGTCGAATTGGTTGCACAAGTTTAAAGCCGATTTGTATAATTTTTTATCAATCGAAAATGTTTGAACAAAAATTTACTGTTTTTTTTTCGAGAAATTTATTTCGGAACGCAATTTTGATTTCGTCCGGACGGGGTGAAGGCAGAGACAGAATGGAGATTCTTTCTAGTTTCCAAGTAATACGAAAATTTTCGAAAGCAAATGAGGCCTTGTCTTTTGCTTTCCGAAATTTTGTATTTCGACACGCCCGGACGTGGGAGAGGTTGAATAACACAGGCGCCTTAGAAAGAGCCCGTAGTAGAGATGTCTGCTATAGGAAACCTCCCTAATCATTTCGATCTTAAGAGATCTTTTGTCCAAAGATTTGACAAAGATTTTCTCACAAGTCTCCCCGCCTGAAGAATCCCTTACGTGATGCAGGAAACTGTCAAAACTATATATAAATATACTAAGGACAGCCCCCCTGCACACTCGCTTCTCTCGTGACCCAAAACTTTTTTTGTTTAATAGAGATTTAATTTCGGAATTTAAGGGATTTTCTATAACTCTTCAGCAATCGCTTAGCGTACGCCTGTGCGTATTCTTAGGCGAGTCCTTTCCTAGCGGCTCCAATTGCGAGTCTCGGTCCATCCTTCTCCACGGCGCTGACTGTGGTGGCGCTTGGGGGCCTTTGGCTGCTGAGGCTCCTGCCAGGTGGCTTGATAGGATTGCTCGGACCAGCGGCGTGGAGTGTATTTGGTATCATCAAATCGTTGCTGGCCTGGATGGTTCAACGAAGAATTGGTCCGACGATGCTGCTCCTTCCGGTCGAGTCCCTCGATGTCGCGACGGTCCGTGGCCGGCTTTGGGGGCTCTTCGATCTCTTCCTCTAGCTCGTACTCGGGCCAAGTCCGCTCGTAGACCCGCTTCCGGTAGCAAACAGGCTTGTAGAATGTATCATCGTATCGGGCTGGACGGTTCAGCGCCTGCGACTGGGACGTCTCCCGGGGCTGGCTCTTCAGCATCCTAGTCCTGTGGTTCACCAGCCCAGGGTTGTCCGACATGTGCATGGCCCTCACGAATCCCGGCACTTTCGTCCCGGTGGCCATGCCAGGTCCAACGACCTTGGCTCTAAGAGCTGCCCACGAAGAATGCATTCTGATTGCTTTTAATTTAGATACTAAAATCCAAATATGAAAATGTGAAAATTCCGATAAAATTTAGACTAAAAAACAATCCGTACCGCTTGGATTGCAACTGATTTACTTATGAGAAATTTCGATAAAGTTTTCTAGGTTACAGCAAATTCTTGGGAATTAAGACTCCAGGACTACTAGATCTACTCATATTCAATAAAGCTGTGCTCTAAAGTTTATTTAATAAAAAGCAGTCTGGACTATGAACATTTTGTTATCCTCGATGACCAGATCGTGGAACCCAGCCTGCCATTGTTCGCTGTACAGCCAATCCGAGGCACCGATTCCCCCTCGTTGGGCCCTCGGGTTGGGCATGGCCGGCAATGGCGGTTCGGGCTCCACGTCGAGCGGTCTGGATAGTTTTCCGCATCTGGTCGGTACTGGCAGCCTCTGCAGGTCCTCCATGCGGCGCTTCCTCGCTCGTCTTACCACCGGAAGGTGGCAGCTAGAATGCCGCCACAAGGCCACATCGTAGAGGCGTTGTCTCCGTTGGTTGGACTGCATCTTGGGCCGCAACCTGAGTACCGACCTCAGCATTTTGATGTGGGCCGAAAATGTGCTTGGGATTTTGGTTTTGGTTATGATTTTGAATTTTGACAAGCTATTCCAAGATCAAGTGCCCTGGTCTCACTTATCCACTTGCCAGCAGTCGCATTCTTTGGCTGGCTTCGCGGCGGTGGGCTTCCTCTTGCACTCCGAGTAGCTGGGAAAGGGTGTCGGTTGCTTGGAGCACTGCGCCTTCTTGCGACTGCGCTTGCAGCTGGGCTCTGCCTTGGCCTTGGAGTTGCCGCACTTTGATGCGGCGGAGTCATCGTCGCCTCCGCAGCTGCCCGCACTCTTGGCCAGCAGGCGGCACGAGAGTACCGCTAGAGGGGGCAGTTTCCTGCTCAGATTTGCCCCGAATAATTGCAGCATTTTTTGAGATTTTGAGCCCCCTCTCCGCCCTGAATGAGTGAAATGTCAATGAGGCTGAGTTTGTATTTATTTCAGTTATAGTTCGAAAAAGTTGTCCCAGTCTCAAGCCACACTCCTCTCCTCAGTGGTTAGGCCTCCCCGCACTTCTTAGCAGGTCCTTTACCAAGGGCTAGGCGACGCCTCAGAACGGCCCAGGCCTCGCACATGGCGAAGGACTCGAGGCATTTGCACTCGGTGGGAGGTAGTTCAAGCAGATCGCCCTTCTTGCACTCGGAGAAGCTGGGGTACGGAGCATTTCGCTTCTTGCAGCCGGACAGCCCCTTGAATGCGGCCTTGCATGTGGGCGGAATGCGGGCTGGCTTGCAGCAGGGCATCGTAATTCGGCGGCAGTTGCTGTCCGCCTTCTTGATGCATTCCATGGGGTTCTGCATCGGGGGTGCACCGTCCTTGGGATTCACCTTGCGCTTGCGCCGACAGGGCTTCGGGCGGACCATCGTCTCGTAGAGACAGACCTTCCTGGGCTTCACCACCATGCGGGGGCAGTCGTTCCAGGTGACCTGGTACTTGCGTTTTTCCTTGTCCGATACTCGATAGTACTTGATGTCGTATCGGGCAGGAAGCAGGCAGACAATCGGTGGGCAGCCCTCAATATCCCACATCGACTTAAAGGGCTTGGGCGGCTTGGGAAGATCCTTCGGCTCCTCCTTCTTTTCCGGCGTGATCCCACACGGCTTCCGCAGGGATGGGGGTCCGCACCTGGTTTCCACCGGCTTATCCACACAGACGTCCGGCTTGCAATCGTCATCCCCGAAGCTCCGCACTGGAGCTCTCAGCGCCGTAGCCGGCTGCAAGCACATTAGTCCGCCTTTTGCGACCTGCTGCGTCGGTTGCCTCAAAAGCCGGAACATTTTGGATCTCTGTTTTGAATTTTTTCCACAGCCAAAGATAAAAAATTTGATTGTTTTTTTTTCCAAAAAAGAACCGACAATTTTGGTACGACTAGGCCGAGAGTGTGTTTGAGACTGACGAAATGGAGACGAGGCCAAGCCTAGAGGCCCAACTGAAGGATCAAGGACTACCTGGATCAGACGGAAATGTAAAACGTTTTTGCTTATAGAGGAGGCCTCGACAAAAGTTTTCGCTGGGCTTGAGAAATGTCGGCGTCTAGAAAATTCAGTCTGGCTTAGGAATTCATTGGAGGCACTTCGGTTTCGGTTTGGGTTGAATATTTTCAGTTGTTTTTTGGTTGTAAGTTTCTCAAAATTTCTCAACAAATTCGTGATATTCCGGTTTTGTTTTGAAATCAACTAAAATGTCCGTGTGGCACTGTGTTGGGAGCAGGACCAGGGCCCAGCATTGGCCCAGGTTCCTGGGCGTCCTGAACAAGCACCGCCTGTACTCGAAGGACCACAGGCCGACGCCGAAGTGCGAGGGGGCGGATCCCTGCTCGCAGATCAAGGACTGCGACAACTCAAACTTCGTGAAGAGCGACAAGGCACCGGCGAAAAGCAAGTTTCAGTTCCACCATCTCATCAAGCTGCCGCCGGAGTGCTGTCTGAATGAGTGCATCGGAGCCTTTCCGCGCTTCGACGAGTGCCTCTACAAGGAGTCGGACAAGGCCAAGCGCAACTACCAGGTCACCTGGGTGGAGTGCCCCCCCATTCAGATCAAGCCCAAGAAGATCTGCTGCTACGAGCCGGGGAAGCGGCCGCCCATTGCCCGTCGCAAGCGCAAGGTGAAGGACGAGTGCGTCGAGGACAAGCCCTGCCCCTCGGAGGGACCGTGCCCAAAGATAGAAAGTCCCGGATGTCGGCCGGTTAGGAATCCCACGCGCTGCGAACTCACACGCGTCAAAACAGACTGCGTCAAGGTGAAGGCCCCCTATCCGGCCTACTCCGAGTGCCGACGACCCAAGCCGCGTCGCAGGCCCAGAGTCGAGTGCCACTGCCTGGACGTTCCGCCCATGTGCATAGTCTTCAAGGAAATGGCCAAGCTCGAGAGGCAGGGCAAAACGGCTGGAGATTGCCCGCCGCCAAAGAAATGATTCCCATGCAGATCTCGGCCAGATTCTGTCATCCTTCAGCCCATACCGCCGATGTCATCTAATGAATCCGAAAAGTCGAAAAACAAATTAAAAAAATACAAATACATTTTCGTTTGTCTCTTTTATTTTTAAAAGTGAATTTTGACAGATATTTCAGACGATAGTCTGATAGTTTGAAGTGCTACATGCATGACCAGCGATCTCCACCGATGTGGCACCTACCAGTCGACGCTGCTAGACATCTGCACTCTGCGTATAAATTTGTATCTTTAAGCGGCCTGTCCGCAGCCCTGCCCACTTAGCCATGTAGATTCGAAACATACTTATTCCCCGATACCGGGCGATGAGTATGCAAAGTGTCTTCCAAAGGGAGAGAGAAGGAGGCTGCGGGACTGCGTGCCATATTAAAGTCGCTTTATAGCAAATTACCAATTCAGATATATACGAGTACGAGTACACACAAATCAGTTATACCCGGCGCATCTATCAGCATATTCCAAGCAAGTCGTATACACATATACGCGGTCTTATAGTCCTATAGTCGTACAGTCGTATAGTATGCATGCAGGCCGTCACATTTATTCGGGTTTCGAGTTTGATGTCCCCTTCCCGCCTGCATAATCAAAAGGGGAGCGGAGGATCGATCCCCAGTCTGTCTCTCCCTCTCTCTGAAGACAATCGAAATGAGACAAAGCCGGGGCCGGTGCCGGGGCCGGGGCCGGTGCCCTGATGGAGCGTTTCTTCAGCTGCAGACATAATTGATGGATGGATGGATGGAATGGATCGCAGCCTGGCTGGCAGTTGACGACAAAAATGTTCTCTGGAGAGTACGGATATGGAGTAGGGAGCATGGAGGAGCATGTCGCATATTCCATGGCTTACCTCTGCCTAAATAATGATGTCGCATTATTTATGCCGCTGCTGATTTGCATAGGCAAATGCAGAAAGGTTAAGCAGAGAGGGGGTGGGGAGGGGAGGGGGCGAGGGTAAGCCTTCTACGGCTGCCTCCAGGCAATGTGTGCGCTTTCTTTAATAAATGTTTAATTTATAATTGATTTTCTCCCCCCACCCCAACGATATGTGTATGCGCCTTGGCTAAACCTCAAAAGTTCTAAGCCCAACCCATATTCAGGGCCGAATCGAGAACAACAGCACGGAGCAGAGTGGAGTGGAGCGGAGTTGAACCGCAAAAGGATTTTGCCCGCGCACGAAAACACTTAATTAATTCGCATAGACAGACAGATAGACACAAGGGTGGACGTCCGGGCGGGGCAGGGATACAGTCCGCCCACCTAGTTGGTCAGACACACACACACACACACACACACATATGGTGCACACTCTCCCACACTCACACACCCTCGCATGGAAATAATTAGAAATTAGAATGGAAAATGCTTGCCAGCCAAGTTGACGATAACAACGACCTAGAAATGCCCGCCTCCTCCTGCCCACCCACACACACACATACAGACTGAACCCAAGTGAACTTCCTTACAACCCCTTGTCGAAGAGAGGGTCAAAGGAGCATATTTAAAATGTAGCAGCACAGGAGTATGATTTAAGCTATTTGCTTCGTCCCCTTAGCAGACCACAGCCCAAGACGACAGCAGCAGCAGCAGCAACGAACCCGAATCGAAGTGGCTCCCCGGGTTGGAGGGGTTTCCATCTGCTGCTCGGTACCGCTGGTGATGGCAGATGTGCTGATTCCCAACTATCGATTAGTCGATTAGCTAGATTAAATAGTCGAATAGAGTCTTAAGAAGTCTCGAACGAAGTCTCTCGAAGTATCTCTCTAACGTAGCGAGTGGCGAGTGAGCCTAGTATAAGTACACACCTTTAGCTATCGTTAGCGCACTTTTTCCCATCTCTAGGTATATCAAAGCGGTAAATAAGCCGAAGAGAGGACGACGATAGAGCGTGAGGGAACAGGGCGGGGGATTGAAGGAGCTTAATTTGCTGCTAATATCCGTTTACGTCTTTAGTTGCAAGAAAATTACAATATTTCGTGTGAGATAGTTTGCACGCACACATCCACACCCACACCCCTTCGGCGGGCCATAGATACTTTGTGTCTAATTTGAATTTCACAATTTTGGCTGGCAAAGAAAAACGCCAAACAGTGGAAAATGAGAGAAAAATGAGCTCGGGCCGCCTTCTGCTTGAACTAATTTCCTAGATGCCGCCTCGAATGGGCTGGGACTGGGGCTTCGAATCGGATCGGATCCCGGGGAATGGTTGGCCGGATTAAAGCCCGGCAAGTGGACACAGACATGGGCCAAGTGCCTGCCTGGCCCAAGGATAAGGCATGGGATGGGACGGGTCTTTGCCTATCCGGCTGGTTTTCGCCGGTTACTGTTGCTGCTTAGCCAAATTATATTATGACTTGTTTAAAATTCAAATTTGGAAACACTAAAATCATGTTTTCGATGTCTGGCCACCCTTCCTCACCCAAAGCCCAAAGTCCAAAGCCCCATTCCCCTCGCCCTCTTCCTCTCCTCTGCGAGGATAGTTTTTGGGCAAGGGTTTAAGTAGCACACGCGGCTGACAGTTGCGGAATGGGGGGAAGGGGTGGCAGTGGTTTCTGGTCAGAGGGGGTTGCTCGGTGTCTCTGCTAAGGATTTGCCTCTGCCTTCAACTGGCAACTTTTGCTGTCTGTCCGTCTGCTTTCCTCTCGTCCGCGTCCTCGTCCCCGTCCTCGTCCTCGGTCTCGGTCTCGATCCCGGCTCAAGGCAATGTCCTTTGGTCGTGTACCCTAGCTGGTATACATGTATATATGTACCTCTCTGTGTGCGTGTGTGTTGCCAAAACATAGTTTCGAGTTGCCACATAAATTTTGCATGCCCCCCTCCCCACTTGTGTCCTCTGGCTTGCCCAACGCAAAATTTGCTTTTAAACAATTTTAATGATTTCATTAGTCGAACAACGGGCAGTTTAATGAGGAAAATTTTAGATTGATTTTCCATTAAAACGAATAGAAGAGATATCGGACATGGAAGAGTCGAAGAGAATGAACCTTATTGGGGGTTTTGGGGCTGTTGTTCATTTGAAAATTGATCTCAAAAGAAGAGCCCATTTAGTGGGTCTCATCTCTGAGGATTCATTATGTCAGAGTATACAGAAAATGTGGCAATTATTTTGCAATTAAATATTTACAACTTTTATTCCATTTTCTTTGCATTTTCCATCCTGCACTTGCAATAGAACTTTGTCCCAAGATAACTTGAATGGACCTGCCTCTTCCCCCCTCTTATCATTAGAGCTGAGACGCCATTTTGTCTTGCACACATACATGCAAACACATACGGAGAAACATAAGAGATAATTAGATTGCATAATGTAAGTGTTGCCCAGCCCAGACCTCAGTGTCCCCCCAGACCCAGGCAATTTCAATAAAATTTGTGCTAGCCATGGAAGCAGGAGGAGGAGGCTTTAGCCGCCCGAAAAAGCAGTCAAATGTCTCAGGGCCCAAGCCACAGCAACGTCTCGGGCCAACGCACACACAGACACAGACACAGACGCAGACACACAGGCATACGTTCTCATAAGCCATTCCACACCCCCACCCACTTCTCCGCCTTAACCCTATGACTAAATGTGTGTGTGTGTTTGTGTGAAGTTTTCTGGCCAAGGCAATGGCCTTTCAAAATTTTCGAATTTACGTAAATTTAACTTTCTTGAAATACACTTAACTGTAAAATTAATTATAAAAGGCAATTGTGTATATGCCTGTGTGTGTGTGTGTTCATATGTGTGTATATGTGGGGGTCTTATAGCTACCCCGCCCCCCCCCCCACCCACAAGCAATTCCCCACTTAAGTTTGTCTTAGTCTTTGGCCGAAAAGGTGTTGGCATGGAATTTGCATAACCAACGAAACGTCAATGTCTTCGGCCAGAGAGCGAGAGAGAGAGAGAGAGAGAGAGTGAGAGAGCATGTATGTGAGCATGTACAGTTGCGCCCATTCGACATTTGCATACACACACGGAGACCCGTACACATAGAACACGGGTCTGGGAAAACACACTAATTAAATGTTGAAGGCAGTTTATATTGAGATGCCTCCCCCTTTGCATGGCCAGCGGGCAGACAAAGACCAAAAGCAGGTGTTGGCGTGTGTAGATATGTGTGTGTATGTGTGTGTGTGTGTGTGCATTATATAGACCTAAGTCCCCCCTAAGTCCACTCCAACCCCAGGTACAGCACCTGCATATACTACATGTGTGTATATGTAGATGGAAATGTCTGTGTGTCGTAAGAAAATCTATAGCCTACGGTGCTCGAACCCCAAGCCGCAAACTCTCAAATGTCTTCATTTTGCACATCAAACCGAATGCAGCCGCAGCCACCCATTGCCCATGTCTATCCTATGTGTACGTCTATATTTGTATGTAGAAATCTGTGTATATTTGCTAAGGATTTCTAATTACATTCGGCATCATTCGGACTTGTCTTCGGTGCCCCCCGGGAAGACTGAAGAACGAATGGGAGTGGGAGTGGGAGTGGGAGTGGAAGGGGGAGTCCAAAGCAGTATGTAAAACATTTCAATGCCGATAAATTATAATATCTCCTTGGAAATAGGGAAGCAGGGAGAACGAATGGCGGGAAAGATGAAAAGATCTTAGATGGTTGGTCAACCATCTCTGGATAACCTCCCAAAGGTGCGTTTCAATTGATTCTGTTTTGCGTCGGTTGCTCGGACTAATTGCATATTAAGCAATGGCAATTACCATTCCGACAGTTGGGTTAATGCCAGGCCGCGAAGAACTAACCAGCCCGAGCAGGCCTCCATTTTGCATGGCTCTCTATCTCCCACCTGCCACATGCCACCTGCCCTGGTTTACACACGCAGACATTTTTAATTAAACGTAAAATTCTGCTCTATTGATTAGTTGCCAAGAACTCGACTCTTCGCGGCCGCGTTGCTGGTACGAGGATGTGTGTGGAGGCAGGCATGTGCAACCTTTGTTATTGCCAACGCATTAGTGTTTGCGCGCCACCAAAGTCGCGGATGGTGAGGGGAAAGTGGTGAGGGTGGCGTGGTGTTGGCCCGACACGCAAGCCAAGAGTGCCACAGGGAGGGGCAAGGAGCTGCTGTCATTGTTCAA